TAAAATAATAATAATACAAAAGATAATAATAATATAAATAATAATATTATAAAATGAAATATCTTTTGAGAAAAGCACATTTGAAGCGTTTGTTACCCTTTTGTACAAAGATATTCAAGCAGTACACCGTTTCCTTTAAACATCAATAACTTTGCTAATTTTACGAATTCAAACAAATCTTTTTAGATAAACATTCTCGAAAGCATGTACTTTGAGAACACGTAAAAAAAAAAAAGAAAAAATTGATGTTTTTTAAGCCAGATTACCGAAATACCCCCTTAATGCGATTTCACTTTTTCTTTCTCCGATTTGTATTCTTTCGGTACTATAATATATTATTGTGTATTATTGTTTATATTTGTAAACTCTCTAAGGACATGCGAATTTCTCTATTTCTCTGTGCTATAAAGCATCAGAATTTAAATAAATTCTCCCCATCAGAATTTAAATAAATAAATAAATGAGTGAATAATACTTTTTTCGATTAACGTTTTCGGTTTTGCGGGAAAATCGAGTTTGGTCCAAGTGCGCGTGTACTTGATCAACTTTTACTCAAACATGCAACTGAGGTTCGACCATGCAATTTGTATTATTAACAAATTCAGTATGGCGTGAAAATGCACAAAAGTAGAAAAATCCTTTTCGTTGTATGTTTTATTCAACCACTAATTGCGAAATCAAATAAATGCCAAATTTATCCGAATGTGGCAATATTATGTTTAGCCGGCCAAATTTCAAACTCGATTTTCTCTTTCAACTGAAAAAATATTGTTTGATTTTGTTGGCAGCGTTTGCAATTGTTGGAACGCGTTACAAGAGGAATGATCGTCGTATGTTTCCACTGTTCTCGTAGCAAGACCATGATCTGCCAGTGTATAGTGTGCTAAATAATAATAATAAATTAATTTAAGATTGATACTGTTCTTTATTTGGCACTGCCTAACTCTAACAATTTTTTTTCTTTTTTTTCTTTATATATACACAATCATTCGATACTCGCTTGTATGACCTTGAGATACCAATGTACTATAATTAATCTCTTCAAAGTGTCTTCTCTATAATTAAACATTTATTTCACCAATTAAACAAAATCTTCAATTTCCAAGTTTAAAATTATAATTATTTAGGCAACACGTGCTTATAGAAGCAACTGCTTCTCTTGAATAAAAAATTACTTGCAATTAGATGAGATAGTTTCTTTGTATTGTAAGAATGTTGTAACAAAAGTTCTGAATGAATATAACAAATTATACTTCTTTTCGAATTATTGATATTTTACGGACATTATCGTTTAAACTATCACAACTTTGCAAAAGAAAATCGCATAACGATCTACTTAATTTCATTTTAAAGCGCAATGCCTCCTGTACCAAGTTCGTTTTTTCCAAAGATATTTTTAAATATAGCAAACGAGGAAGATAAGAGTATTTTCCATTTTCAAAAATTGTAGAAATTCAAACTTTTGTAGGAACATTAAAAAATGTTGTTCATCGTCGATTTGAAAATTGAAATTTTTTTTCTTTGAAACGATTCCTTGAAACTTGGTGCACGATTCTTTATTATAATTTTACTGAACTTTAGGATTGAATGACGAAATTTTAGGATCTTTTGAATTTTTGTTATTAAACTCTAATGTTCAACGTTCAATAAAACGATGGAAAAATAATCTTGCAAGGAAACTTTAATCTTCACAACTATGACAGATCTGGTCATAAATAAAATTCTTCGCTACTTTCAAATACGTGTGAAGAAAAAAATACTTTTCCATTTCTTACGTGATGTTAAAATATCTTGGAAAAGAAAACGAGTTCAGTAAAAATTGATGCTTTATGTTTTAAAATGAGACCAAGTAGGTTGTCATATGATTTTTTTTTTTTTGTGAAATTACAACAGTTTAAAGTATCGACAATTTTTCATTTAAATTAATTGCAAAACCGACTCGACGGAAGCAGAAATTTTTATCTGCCAGAATAGTGATGGCAAAACACGATCGTAAAATTTTTTTGGAAAGCCAAAACATCCTACAAAACACTGCATATGTTGCTCTTTTTATATTATACTATGCTAAAATTTTACATGTGTTGCAAAATTCAATTTTGCTTACCTTTTGTATCTTTATATTATAGTTAATTATATTTATTAATTACATTATTTATTCATACATTTATTTAAATGCCATCTACGTGGATCAAAATGGAGATATTTAATCCTATTATTTACCAGTAAAGTAAATTCTCAAGTAATAGTGATTTCTTACTCACTTGATAGACTAATATAAGTTTCTTTCTTTGCGATTTTCCCTAAAATGGAGAGAAAATGGCATTTTTTCTTAGTTTATTCATCCCCTGTTCCCAATGTTTTAACATTTAAATTCGGGATACCTTGTATATAGAGTGTCTCGTATTTAAACTAGCCCCGCAAGTATTTTTTATTACAAGGACGTAAAAATTATTTAGATATGAATGTTTGAATGGCCAATATCCCGTAAAAATATTCCCAGACTATTCAAAGTCATCGATGTTATTTTCGAAGTAACTGCTGCATTGCGCAACTCAAGAAAAAAAATTCAAACGCGCACTCTGTGAACTTCAAGTGACTTTGAACATAAAAAAAAAATTTAAAATTGATAGCTGAAAAGAAAATGTTTTTTGTAGCACAGGAAACATCCAGATGACTTGGTCGGTTGAAATTTCTGAAGCCATTCATCACTTACTTTTGCTCAACATTTCACTTTAGATTTTCAAAATGTCATCCTTTTGCAGAGTAGGTGTCTCGCAAAGTTATGAATTTTAAATTTAATCATTCTTGACGTGCACGCCTGAATGTACTTCTTAATACATAATAATTGCTATACTCAATATAACGGAAAAAAATATGTAGTTATTTGAAACAAAAAATGTCGAAAACTAAAATAAAGAAAAATGAAACGACGTTTGTCACTTGATATTAGCCACTTAATATCATTTCAAGTTACGTATAATTTTCTTTTTTTTTTTTTGCATCCTCACGGTTAAAAAACGAGACAGCCTGTATATAGGATATCCCGAATTTAAATGTCAAAATTTCAAAAGTATACAGAGGACGAACAAACTAAGGGAAAACAAAACGTTCTTTAGAGATTTTTGCTCGTTTTTGTTCCATTTTAGGGAAAATCACGAAGAAAGAAACACACACACATATACATAGATGAGCCGTTTATTTTGAAAATTGCCAAAGTCCATTTACCTTTAAATCAAGATATTTAACAGTTTGCGTTTTGATAAATTTAAAAATGTTGGTAACTGATAACATGGTAGTATAATGTTTCTAAGGATGAACAATTTACCAAACCAATTAATTTTTAAATTTACCAAGCCTTTTTAATTTTTAGAAAGGCGCAAGTTCCTTGAAAAAAATAAAATTCCCTTAAAATAAAAAAAAATATTACAATTTTGTGTTACAAGATTAAAAAATATCCAACTTTTATTCGCTGTTAAAGAAATGTTGCATTCAATATAATATTTCGTAATTTATAATTCATTCTTCCCCAATTTGCGTGTGGGGGAGGGATTTAAAATAATTATTGTGTATAGGTGGTATATATAGTGTAACAAGTCCATTATATTGTTGTATTTTAGTATTGCGATTGATCTCACATTTTTATACAGTTGTGTCAATTCAAATGTTATTATAGTTTCTTGGTCTGACCCGACGCGATAGTAAATCCATAGTTTTGAATAGTGCATCCTCATTCATTGATGCTTTATAGAACATTTTATATGGTTCTGTTCTCAAAAATCGCATCCAACATATTTTTAACCAATTTACTTTAACTCTATTAATATGTTTAACGTTCTAAAAACCGCGTCCACTAGAGGTTTAATTGAAATGAAATCCTCTGTATTTAATGAAATTATTATTATTTAAAAAATCACTATTTAAGCTAATCGAACACTGCTACTTTAATAATAAAAAAAAAAAAAAACATAGCTCTCATCTCATAAAATTTCACTGTCATAATATACTTCATGTCAGTTTGAAACTTTTAAAATGGGACTTGAGCCACTTTCAAACTAAAAATCTTTATCATTCTCATTAACCAGCTTATTGTCTGTGTACAAAATCTCAGTGATTTTAAATATATTAGTTACAATTTGTTTAAAAATGAAAAGACGACGTAGAAATGTAATATTAAAACAGCTGGCTTGATTTTTTAAACAAATAGAATCAGGCCATTTTCAAAATAAACGGCTCGTATATTAGTTTCTAAAGTGAGATAAAAATCAGTATTTGTCCCAAGTTTTGTCCCAAATTGCAACATTTTCTCAGTTTTAAGTATATTTAAGTATAACCCAGGCACACCAAATAATAAATTTATTGCTGCTCAATAATTTCTATCCAGTGACATCACACCGACGAGTTCAAAAGAAAAAGAACGCGACAAATTACTGTATACGGTTCGGTCACTCGTTATGGTCCGCAATCGGTTGTCAGCGCAAGAGGTTAACTCTTGCGCTGGAATGACGTGCCACGTACGTCGAGAATTTTCTTTTGTCCCAAAATTGCAACATTTTCTCAGTTTTAAGTATATTTAAGTATAACCCAGGCACACCAAATAATAAATTTATTGCTGCTCAATAATTTCTCCAGTGACATTCCAGTGACATCACACCGACGAGTTCAAAAGAAAAAGAACGCGACAAGTTATTGTATACGGTTCGGTCACTCGTTATGGTCCGCAATCAGTTGTCAGACGTCAGAATGACGTGCCACGTACGTCGAGAATTTTCTTTTGTCCCAAAATTGCAACATTTTCTCAGTTTTAAGTATATTTAAATATAACCCAGGCACACCAAATAATAAATTTATTGCTGCTCAATAATTTCTATCCAGTGACATCACACCGACGAGTTCAAAAGAAAAAGAACGCGACAAATTACTGTATACGGTTCGGTCACTCGTTATGGTCCGCAATCAGTTGCCAGTTGTCGAGCCGCTCGTGACGAAAGATTTCACTTTACCTGTAGATCGTCGTCGGTGAGGCTGACCCAGGCTTCCTCGGACGTTAATCCCAGCAGGAGGTCTCGATCGCCGAAATTAGCGAACTCGGCGCCAGGCCCGGGCACCAGCGGCATCAACCCCGAGGAGGAGGCGGTCGGTTGGAAGTTCTTGACAACAGAAAGAGAGAAAATACAGCCGTAGATCGATCGATCTCGGCGAGCAGCAGCTCTATGTGGGGACCGAGGTTTTTTCGTTTGCCGCGAGTTATCCACGGACTATCGATTCTCCGCGCGACTTCCGATTGCCGACGTCTCTCTCGCTCGGTAATTACAATTACACCGCTTGCTTTATGGCTTTTAATTAAAAGTTCGCCGGCGAGCAATCTTCCACCCAGAGCGATACGTGCGCGATCAATTGAGAAAAAGAAAAAAAGAGAGAGAGAGAGAAAGGTAAGAGAATCGAGCGACGAGGGAAGCGTTCGATTGACGACCGAGGCGCGATGCGATGCAATGCGATACGATGCGAGGTCGAGACCTAATACCCTGAGCTCTTTCGTCGCTCGACGTCTGTCACTTGGCTGTCGGTTCAATTAGCAAACTCATCGCTTACACGTCGCCCAGTATCCGCCGTTTCATGCGGCCGAAATGTCTAACGACGCGATTGTGCCCGCGTTTTTTTTTTTTTTTTTTTTTGCTTTCCACTTCTCTCGGCGTTTTAACTCGGGATCATTTGACTTTCGCTCTGCGCGTGATCGATCGCGAGTTGTTTGACCGAGGAGTTGGTCGTTTGAAAGGAACGAATGGAGCTTTTTCGGAGATGGAATTGGAAGAATTTTCCAATGATCAATCGTACGCAACTAATGACACGGAATAACAGTAGGATCTCCTAAAAATTGCGCCACTGCCTCCGTATAAAAGTTGCTGGGTATGAAAATACGCGCGTCTTTGAATTGACTCGAAGCACAGTTTTATATTAACTCGATAAGGAGGGGTTGTTTCAAGTGTGCATGAACAGTTTCTATGCAGAATTAGTTGCATTATTTCAAAAAGGAATTCACTTCAATTACAGAATAGATACTGATTGTGAGGCGAAATCTTTTTTCACTATACTTCACGATACTTGTCAGAAGTAAGAAATAACATTTTCCAGCCGTGACTCTGAATATCTCGAGAACAGATAAACCGAGTAGAACATTTATATTAGTTGAAAGAAAAATTAGAGAAGATTTATATTAAAAGGAAAATAGTTTTAAAGAAAACTGAAATTATTTTTAATTTGACATTTAATAAAATTAAATTAAAAATGAAACCTAAAATAAAAATTTTAATAAATTTAAATTAAAAATTATAAATTTGAAATTGGAAATAATTTTTCCCAAAATTAATATTGTTATTATTATAAACTTTATACAAAAATTTATTGATTCATCTTCATAAAGATAAATTAAATTTAATATTAATCTATTTAATAAATTACTTATCATTCGAATTGAATAAGAAATAGTTAATATTATTCTATATAATAATATAATAGAATTAAACAAAAAATTCTTATCTTTCTAAAAAAATAAATTTCAATCATTAAATCTTTTGAATAAAATTCAACCAAAAAAGGAAATCAACACAATATTATTAAAGAAAGTATAATAATTAGAAATTCTTCTCTTCGGGTGATAAGTCAACACCATTTTGCAAGAAATATGAATCGACAATTCGCACAATTGGGAAAAATCAAAATAAAATAAGATTTTCTTCAAAGAAAATCCTTACTAAAGATCTTTTATTAACAAAAACAGAAAATTGTTTAATTGTTTGGACAGATGATTGCAATAGGAAAAATATTCCTTTGAATACTTATTATATCAGACAGAAAGCACAAAATATTTTTTTGTCGTATTAAAAAATGCTATTTATTTAGTTACATTTTTAGCTAGTGCAGTTATCCAAATAATCTAAAATATTATTTTAAGAATCAAAGAACGAAAGATATTATAGTATTAAATCGTCATTGGATTAGAAAACTTACACAACTATCGTATTTTTGCGAGTGACAAGATTCCTCGAAACAGTGAAAAATATATTCATTCGACACAACATATATATAATGGAATAATTTATGTAGAACAGTTTATTTAATTCTCTGTCAAAATCTTCTTTGTTTGGACAGATTATCTCCAATTGTGAGTTTAGAAACTAGAGACCAAACAACTGCTGGAAATGAATGCTTTTGCACAGTCTAATAGTAAAGTGAAAAAAAAGAAAATGAAATAAAATATAATCACAAGTTATTAATCAAAAAATTCTACTTGAGACTATTTATTTACTCGAAACTGTTTGAGATTATATATAGAATAAACAGAATAGAAATTAATATAGTTGAGCATCTAGTATCAAAAGATGTAGTATCTGGACTTTTCACTATCCAAATATTATACATGTTCGTTCTTTACTATCGCACAGTGGCTTCAATTTGACCAAAATATTGTTAATACTACTTTAATGCAGTTCAATGCATTGAAAAGTTTATGCAATCTTGCAGCGACAAATACGCGAAAAATTAAAAAAATATTTCGTTTATATTGCATCTTACTTTTATTCCTGTTTTGCCATTGCATTATTCTTCCCTAAAGTTATAATGTAATCATAATAAAAATAAAAATAAAAAAAAAAATAATAATAATAATAATGTAATAATAGAAAAAAGTTGTACTGTCCTTTTACTGATAACTAAAGTATAAAATACTTTATACTAAAGTATAAAACTGAAGAATAATAATAGAGTACTGTTTTACTAAGGTATACTAACTAAAGTATAAAATATCAGAGAAATTAGAGCATAGGAATGAAAAACACAAGCTTGTATAATACTTATGTGTTTCATAAAGTGTCATTAAAATTTCTGTAAATTTTAGTTTGTAATTCTAGCGCTAACTTAATGATTATTATTGTTCTTCTGTTAGATACTAGAGGTTTCACTTCAAATTGCAAAAAAAAAAAAAAAGAAAAAAGTTAAATCGTAAAGCAAGAGAAAAAATATTTCATTAAATTCCAACGCGTTACTGAACATTTTAAAATGTTCCACTTCAAATTGAAAAACAGAAGAAAGAGAGAAAATATGTCGCATTAAATTTTCTCCGGAATGTTACTGAATATTTCACGTATTTCAAAAGAGTGTAAAGAGGCGAGCATGAGATAAAAGAGGCGAAGAGAAAGGTTCTTACAAAGTTGTGTCGAAGGTAGGTACCTGATTGATCGGCGGAGGCATGACCGCCCCATCGACGAAAGGAGCGAATCCAGAAGTGAATCTCGGCGGATTCAAGTGCACAGCGAGAAGCTCCTCCAGGCTCCGCAAACGAAGACACGGTGCGATATCGTCAGCCTCAACGTCACCAGGACATCCGGTCTGATTGGCGACGCGACGTTTCACCATTAACGGATCACGCTGTAGAGCCCACGGTGACAGGGCTGAACCGCCAAGTAAAACCACCCTCTCGACTAGCTCTGCCATAGAAAACACGTCAAACGATGTAACACGACGCTATAAATAATTTTTCCCCGAGGAAACAAGGATATCTCAATTTTGTCTGTGATTTTATATAAACCCACACTGTTAAAAAAATATAAAAGTATATTTTACGTAGATGCAAAAAAAATACAATCTTTTTTTTTTTATTTGAGGCTTTGTTTTCGGTGGAAATCGAGTTTAACGATTTATCAAGTATAATTCTGGACGTGACGAAAAAAAAAAAAGAAAAAAAGAAGGAAGATTAACACGAGGTGATTCTGTATGGAAGAACGAGTGAAAAATAAAAGAGTAGAATAAAATTTTTTTCCTCTCTTGTTTTCGAGGAAATCCAGGTTTTTATTCGAATTCAAATTTTCGAGAGCGCAGTTAGGAAAATAGAACCACGATGGATATTTGTTTTACAATTTTTTTTTTATTTTCAAGTATATTTACTTATGTTTTAGTATTTATTCATTTATTTATATTTTAGTGTTTATTTATTTATTCATTTTTTAGTATTTATTTATTTATTTATTTATATTTTAGTATTTTTATAATTATTTTACTTAGAAAATATTGTAGAAAATACTGTGCTCTCAATATTTTGTGTATTTTTTTATACTCATTTATAATCGTGTATATATGTACACTTTTTATATTATGTTTTATATTGTGTGTAACTTGATGTATGTAGTTTAAAATTTTTTATAAATGCAGAAAAGCCAGCGAATTTTTAATAAACCATATTCAACGTTCGATTTTCTTGACAAATTTTATTCTACATTTTTGACATGTTTTTTGCACGTGGAGTAACCTCCTCCTAATTATTCTTTTCTGTCACGTCTGGAATTAATTAAACTCAAGTACACTTGATTTTGAAGTCTTGAATCTTTTTTCTTTATTTTCAACGTATTTTTTCACATAGAATCTATCCTCTCTGGTAGATCCGATGCTTCTGTATTATCTCAATTATTTCAATTTTTTACGGTTTTATTTAATTTACTTAATAAACAATTTATTTAATTTTCTCTATAAACAAATGTCAGCTTAATGTTTTACCATAATATTAATATTCTATCATAATAATAATTTTCTCCATAATATTTTATCATAATAATAATTTTCTCCATAAACAAATGTTAATATCTTAAATATGCATCTTAATATCACGTTAACGTACTTAATGTTATCTTAAATGCTAACAGATCTCATGGTCGAAAATAGCACGTGTTAAGAACAATCACATTATGGCCCTGATTGAAACAGTTACGAATACTGATAGGACCAAATCCAATATGTATTTATAAATCCAATACACAAAGTTCGTTTCATAGGGTTAGCGAATATTATAGATAAGACTTGTGAAATATTCAAACTTTACAAATTAGTTTTGAACCTCGGAATGGATATTTGCAAGTTTCATAAATCTATTTATAAGCATTTCGATATTACAATGATAGAATCGAATTATTTTTACAAATAATAAGGAAAAAGGTACACTGCATCTAATAAATTTTATTACATTGCATCTAATAAATTTTTTATTTTTTATTAAATTTTATTAACACTATATTATTTTTATTATTTTAACGTTTGCATATGCTACTGTTTAGAAATAAAATTTGTTTTACAGTTCTTGTTTGTAAATTATTTCTTTTTCTATTCCTTTAGAAAATATCCTTTTCAGGGTACAAATGTTGCCATTATGTTCAGATATAATCGCGTGCAATCACTCGATGAATGAAAATGACTGTAAATATTGTTATAAATAATTTCAAGAAAATGCCATTTCTCAGAATGAATAATTTCGAATGAAATACTCATGAGGCTTCGGATCTATTCGATCAACGTTCGATTCTATATAGAAGTTTCTTTTATATCACAGAGTAGATCGAGTTCGAATCTATCGTATTCAACCTCGAATGTAGTCGAAAATTCAATTATTTTTATCGAAATACTTGTAGAGGATTCAGATCGAATCTAGTTCATGTTCGAATCTATTCCGAATAACTGTTACGAAGAACCGAAATTAATGTCGATGTTAGATTCGATTAGGGTCTTCGATATATCCGATATTTGTTCTACAACAATCCTAAATCCCTTTTTACCTTTTTTCGCAATTAATAATTTTAACTTTCTAATTATCTAACTTGGGCATTTTATAAATGATATACATCATTCGATGACATACTGGATCGGTATGAACTTATAATCTTTTTAGTTGATGGAGAAACCAAAATTACATTACTTATATATTATATATAAAATTAGGTATTATATATAAATTTAGGTAGTTTATTTAAAAAATTTTTTAAATTTTATAAATTTTTATAATTTGAAAAATTTAGAAAGTTTATAAAATTTATAAATTTTTATAATTAATAATTTAGGTAGTTTATTTTTTCCCTTGCCACTAACTATGGATTGTTTTCACTTACGAGTGTCCGATTATAAACTTATTTCACTTGCAAGCGCTGACTATAAATTTATTCTACTTGCAAGTGCCTGACTATAAATAGACTCATTCCATTACAAGTGTCTAACCACAAACTTACTCTACTCGCAAGTGTCCGAGTATAAATGGACTCGTTCTACTTAGAAATGCCTGACTAGAAACAGACTCATTCCACTGCAAGTGTCTAACCATAAACTTGTTCTACTGTCCGAATATAAATGGACTGGTTCTACTTGCGATTGTCTGAGTATTAACGGACTCGTTCTACTTGTCTGGCTACAAACTTGTCCTACTTACAAGTGTCTATAAACCCTAAAATGACTCATTCTACTTGCGAGCGTCTGACTATTGACGGATTCATTCTACTCTACTTCTGTAAAAGCGAAAAAAAAAACGATGGTCCTGGGAAAAATCGATGTCAATAGAAATTTCGATCGCTCGTAACAATTAATAGGAACATCGATCCTTCAAAATTGCTTCAAGAATCAATACAAGCCCTGTCTCAAAACTCGCAAACTCGTACAACAGAGAATCAAACCTTCGTTCGTGAATAAATAAACAAAGAAAATCAATCCTTCGAGTCAAGCGAATCGACAGCCGATTCAAGAATCGTCAGTTCGTCATGAGGGCGAGGAAAAAAAGAGATAGAGTGAAACGCATTGTGAAGGGGCATTAAGGACGACGCGAGGTGGGTTCGTTAGCGGAATGGAGGTGCAATCTAGAAACACGGCCTGGTTCAACCCCGTCCCTCCGGCGACTCTGTTACTTTTGCTCTCTGTCGCGAAGATGGCTACACTCGAGGAAGCTTGTTAACGTCTCTAGTGGCCGTCGACAACGAAGACACCAATGACACTATCGTCGTCGTCATCGTTCCCGAGGAATATCCCCTCGACGACGTTCTACCCGCGCGAAGAATCCCGACACCTCTCGCTACCAGCGCGCGGCGAAACACGACACGGCACGCTGAAAAAGTCAACGTAAATGGCCAACTGTTAAGGTATTTTTTTCTACGGGACGTGTGATATCCGGTTTCGAAACGTATGCACACACATATGCATACACTCGAGCGTCTTTTCTAATTGTAAGACTAGCAGAAAATGGCACCTCTCTATGAGAGAGATTCAAGACTTGGACCATTTGTATTATTTGTTTTCAAATTATATTATCATTTCTTTTATATTATTTATTTATTTCTTTTATATTATTTATTTATCTCTTACTTTCTTCTAGACTTTTTAGATAAACATTAATTTAATAAACATTACATTCATAACATTAATAAACATTACAACTGTAACATTAATAATAAATTAATTGCAATATGTTAGGTATAGGATATTATACCATAATGTCATGTATAGGATGGCCACTGAAAAACTGAAGGATTTAATTCATAAAAATTCACACATAATACTGAAAAAATTAATTATATTTCCAAATAAATTAATAAAAAATTAAAAAAACATGTGTTTGTAAAAGTTATTTTTTTTTATATCATTCAGTTTTTCAGTGACCGCCCTGTATTTGTACTTTCCAATTAAAGAATTTCAATTTTCCTGTCTTTCATATTATATTATTTCTTTTATATTATATATCTATCTAATTATATTGTTATCTTTCTTTTATATTATATTATTTATATATTTTCAATTATATTAAATTTAGATATGAGTTTTATGAGAAACCTGTATAGGATCAGATAATAACGTGATCATTTTAATGTAGAATTATGTATATTATCTTTTTACATAGAGCGAATCAAAAAAGTATTGGCACATCTAATTTTTTGGCGACACTTTTATGAAAACAAAATTGTGATACATTGACATTGTAAATAACAAAATTGTAAATAAATAAATAACTCACTATGTGTAGTAATACGAAAGTAATGTGCACAGTAGCAATTTCCAATAATAAATTATACAATAATAATACAAGGAATACAAAAATTCGAGAGTAAAAAAAAGTGCTTAATCCGTATCCAATGGCGGAATGTTATTACAAAAACTACAAAATATTGTTTTGTAAGTACTGATATGCTATCAAATGATATCGCGCTAAAATAAGAAATTTTATATCATTAAAAATATTTTGTATTCTGTTGAAATACAAGCTAGAGTTTCAAAAAAAAAAAAAAAAAAAAAAAACGGTCATTTGTCAATACCATTTTGATTCTCGAATGTTTACGTTAGTTATCGTTACATACTTATTGAAAATTGTCACTGTGTGTGTATTTTACTTTTGCACATAGTAAATTATTTAATAAATATATAATAATAATAGTAAGTAAATTAATACTAAATAAATAGTAATATATAATAATAAGTAAATAGTAAATCAATAGTAAATAGTAATATATAATAATAAGTAAATAGTAAATTATTTATTTATTTATTTTGTTAACATCAGTTTCTTTTGTAAAAAAAACTAAGTATAACAATGCTTTTTTGGTCCATTGTATTTTTTTTCTCAAATCCAACATTTCGCTATCGATACACGAACCTCTAGAAAAAACTCACGGCAAATGTCAAACGAGGATGTCAATACTTTCTCAATACTACTCTTCAACTACAGTACAATACCACTCACTGACTGAAAGGAAAATTTTTGTTATGAAAAACTGAGTTTGAACTGATTTCAAACCTAGAAAAAAAGTAATCGTAATGCCCTACATTGCTTAAAAAAATCTCAATTCTATTTTACAGGATATCATTCCAATTTCTTGCACTTTGTAAATTAAATTGAAGTAGTATATGAATTTATCAACAAATTATGAAAATTTTGTTTTATTCTTACAAGAGATTGATTTTATCTAAAATAATCACAGGCTACGAATTATAGTTACTTATTATAATATAATGTATACTATAATACTTATTATAATATAGTTTACTGAAGTTATTCTTAACTGCTATAGTATCGAATCACTTGCAATATTTATAATAGAATTTTTATACAAACTTCAGTACATCAATCATACTTTGCAGAAACATACTCAAATTCATTAGAGAAGCATATTAAAACATCTGCTAAAAGAAAGTTAAGAACTGTGATTCTGGAAGCAAAATATGACAGGGAATGAACGTTACCTTCTGTAAAATATATTATGCATATAAATATATATATATATAAAATATATATTCTTTATCAGTGTAATTGAAAACACCGTAATACTCTCTTCGAAACAGCACGAAAGACACAAAAGACAGTTATAGTTATAATATTAAAAATATTAAAATTTTTTAATATTTGTTATATTATATTTATAATATTTTAATAACATTTGTAATATTATATTTATAATATCTTAATAACATTTGTAATATTATATTTATAATATTTTAATAACATTTGTAATATTATATTTATAATATTTTAATAACATTTGTAATATTATATTTATAATATTTTAATAGCATTTGTAATATTATAATCATAATATTTTAATAATATTTGTAATATTATATTCATAATATTTTAATAATATTTGTAATATTATATTTATAATATTTTAATAACATTTGTAATATTATATTTATAATATTTTAATAATATTTGTAATATTATATTTATAATATTTTAATAGCATTTGTAATATTATATTTATAATATTTTAGTAATATTTGTAATATTATATTTATAATATTTGAATAACATTTGTAATGTTATATTTATAATATTTTAATAATATTTGTAGTATTATATTTATAATATTTTAATAACATTTGTAATATTATATTTGTAATATTTTCATAACATCTATAATATTATATTTATAATATTTTAATAACATTTGTAATATTATATTTATAATATTTTAATTACATTTGTAATATTATATTCATAATATTTTAATAATATTTGTAATATTATATTTACAACATTTTAATAATATTTAATAATATTTTTTTAATAATATTAAAATTATTTGCACAGTGAAGATATTCATAGGAAAAATCATCGAGACAGATGACGAATTAACATAGGTAAACGAAGAAGATTGATTTCCTCGAAATATTGATGACTCGCGCTATATTTTGGCTTAGGTTTAGATTAGGTTTCACTGCTTCAAACACTGACTTAACCCCTTGCGCTGGCAATTGGTTCGCGGACCATAACGAGTGACCGAACCGTATCTAATAATTCGTCGCTTTCTTTTTCTTTTGAACTCGTCGATACGATATCACTGGATGGAAATTATTAAGAAGTAATAAACTCATCATTTGTTTTGCCTGTGTTACATTTAAATATACTTGACACTGAGAAAATGTTGCAATTTGGGACAAAAAATTCTCGACGTGCGTGCCTCCACGTCATTCCAGCGCAAGAGGTTAAAAAAGAGGTTTGAAAAATCCCAATTGTAAGAAAGGATAAGTAATCGAACAGCAAGATTTACGGAACGGAAATGATTGATTGAGGGATGTTACCTTTCGCCATGGGCGAGACGGCTAAAAAATTGGCGAGCGCGGCACCCGTACCGTGCCCGAAGAGCGTCAACTTGTCGGGGTCACCGCCAAAAGCACCGAGATTCTCGTGCAACCAGTGAAGCCCTGCCACTAGATCCATCAACCCGTAATTTCCTTGAGCGCTCCCCTTCGGACCTGTTTTCAGAAAACCTGCAAGCAATTCCGTACAACAAATCAGTACAACGTCCCCTGACAACGTCTTCTGTTCGTCTGTTTGTTTGCAACAAACGTGTACCCCATAAAACAGAGAACCCCCTTGAAACTTTAAGGGATCGGGACAGTTTGAAATTTTCAAAAAATTCGATTTTTTTTTGTTTTGTTTTTGCTTTGAATAATAGTTTGAAGCCTTGGAAATAAGATACAAAAGGTCCTAGCTTTTAAAACGATTTATTTTTGGGGTATAGCAATAAATCCGCCACGCGTACGGAATAATTGAATTTGTATCATTGTTTACAACTTTAAGCAGTATTGCAAAGTGTAAATCGTGTGATTCAAATATTACTTTCGGTGAGTCGAATATCAGGGGACTTGAATTCAGTTTAGTTGTGAATTGTAAGAACTGTAAGCCGCGATATACAGGGTGTTTCGTAACCCACTTTGAGAGCTGATTATACGCCTAAAAATAATGAAAAAAAAGTCATATGAATGTATGTCCTATCTGTCTTCGTTTATGAGATATAATGAATTTTATAAACAGTAGTTTATACACAAAACAAAAAAAAAATGTTGACACAATCGAGAGCGACAATGACGAATTTATATAAATTCGAAATTATATTTACACAATTTTATAATTTAATAGAATTTTACATAAATGACGGAATTATATTTAATATAATTCTTTTGTTACTTAACAGCGAAATATTTAAACTGATGTAATTTTTATAACACAATCGTCAATGAAAAATTAACATTTTAGAGATACATGTCATACAAAGTGTTATTTCATTTTTTCAGCTTCGAAGCAAATATAGTGCATCGAACATTGGAAATTTAGTGTACGTTATAGCTAAAAAGTCTCGGGACACTTTTTATTTTTAATAGTCAATGTTTGTCATGGACAATAAAATTTTTCATCATGGACAATTATGCGTATTATCGCACTGTCCGTAAGAAAATTTGGTCATTCACCGTTTCTAGCTTTTGAAAAAATATAAAAATATATTTTGGAATACTTGGCATAGCCTTAACCACGTTAGATAATTAGTTTTCAAGTCAGATCTTTGAAAGATTTTTCGGGAAGAATAGGAATCTGCTTCGAAAAATTTACAAATGAAATTATCCGAGGGATGAACACGTTTATAACACAATCGTTGACGTAAAATTAATATTCTCACTTGGTATCGATACGTAGAAGACGACAGCATTTTCTAAGATATAACTATTTTCAAAAAACACGCAGTTTCGAGAAAAACCACGTTTAAATTTTTATTTGCATTTTACACCGAGATAATTTCATTTGCCATTAATTCATCAATCAAAAATTTCTAAAGTGCTGTTCTATCTTTGATATGTACAAGAAATAAAGAAAATCGATTTTTTGGGTTTGCTATGCTAGAACAACACTCTCGCAAATAAATCGTTCTTGAATAAATGCAGATATTCCATATTTCCATATTTGCTGGAAATTCCATAAAGATCACAACGGTTTAGTTTTTAATTTGAGTTATTGCAGGACCCCAGAGAAACGGATTAATCTTGGGTCTTCGCGAATACAGAGTTTCTTATTGCGGACATAAACCAATCCTTTATGCTTTTTCCCCGCGACGTTTTACGAGCCACTCTGAAAATAAACTCGCCGACGCTATTGCTCCAGGAATCGTCACAATGCGTTAATTGAAGTTTACTGGCTTCGTCATCATCCGTCGAAATTAAAAACATTTTCTTTTTTTTCAACAAAATGTGATGGAGCAATATATGGAGATTTCAGAAGCCATCTCTCGTTAGAAATAATTTATAAAAGAAAAGTTATAATTTATAAAATTATAATTTGTAAAAGAAAAATTATAATTTATAAAGGAAAAATTATAAAAATTATAATTTATAAAAGAAGAATTACAAAAATTATAATTCATAAAAGAAAAATTATAAAAATTATAATTTACAAAGGAAAAATTATAAAAATTATAATTTATAAAAGAAAAATTACAAAAATTATAATTTGTAAAAGAAAAATTATAAAAATTATACTTTACAAAGGAAAAATTATAAAAATTATAATTTATAAAGGAAAAATTATAAAAATTATAATTTATAAAAGAAAAATTACAAAAATTATAATTTATAAAAGAAAAATTGTAAAAATTATAACTTACAAAGGAAAAATTATAAAAATTATAATTTACAAAGGAAAAATTATAAAAATTATAATTTATAAAAGAAAAATTACAAAAATTATAATTTGTAAAAGAAAAATTATAAAAATTATAATTTACAAAGGAAAAATTATAAAAATTATAATTTACAAAGGAAAAATTATAAAAATTATAATTTATAAAAAAAAATTATAAATTGTACATTATATATATAACAATATATAATGTTATATCTAATTATATATTACATATAACATATACTGCAATTTATAATGAAAATTATAAATTATACATTATATATTATAACAATTATAAATTATAAAAATTATAATTTATAAAAGAAAAATTATAAGGACAATTCATTAATTTGCAAGTCCTTTGCAGATGTTATCATCACTATGTGCTTTGTTACTTTTGCATGCAATGAATTAGAGTTTGTGGGATGCGTCATTTATTTTCACAAAAATATTCCGAGAAAACTAGGCGTGCCAACGCTTTTTCTAAAGAATTTTTGAGCATATTAATTAGTGTTAAATGTGTTACGTCTGTAAACGCAGTACGGATTAAGTTGATTACACATGAATATATTTTGTACTTATTTTATTACTTTCTACGGATAATGCAAAGAATAAGTAGTAATGGAAATATATGGTCAGGCGTGAGATATTAATTCTTAGAAATTAGCAAAGGTGACAAAGGTACTTCCCCGGAATATTAATCCTCGTACGAAAGAATTCATACTACGAATTTATTATAAATTATTACACAAAAGAATAAAATAAATTTATTAAAAATTAGAAAAAAAATAAATATTGAATACTGAACGTCAATTTAAATTTAAAATTCAATTTTTCTTGAAAATTTGAATTTTGCCTCAAGCTAGAAAATTCTATTCCACATTTTTCTTTTTTATCCTATGAGAAATCGCATGACTTGTAGATACGTGAAAAGAAAAGTTTCGTAATTTTGTAATATAACAAACTACAGAAATTTTTGTACAAATTCATAGTTTGTAAATATTACAAATTCATAGTTTTATAAGTAAAAAAAGGGGAACTAGGTAGAAAATCATTTTCGATTATTATCATACAGAGTGCAGCACTTTGAACATTTTCTATTCCTTTGCAAATTACGTGCATTCTGCATTTTTGCATCTTCGAATTTCTTATAAATAAAAATCCACAGTTCAATGACGAGACATTTTTCAACGTTCCTCAATTGACAAAGACATTTCATCTTCTTAGCACGTGATAATATAACACAGTATAATCGATTCCTCGTGACATGCAATACTCTATAAATACAACACACTCCTGTTAACTAACCTAACAGTTTAAGGGATTCAAGAGGTTTGAGGATTCCATTTTACCATGACCCTTCTAGCATTCCTATTACACTTCATGTTATGGAAACCTTTATCAAATAAATAGACTGGAACTAACCTAACCAACTTACAGCAACGTCGTACTCTTTACGTATTCCGATGGAAATGAACTCTGAACTCTGTCCCCTCGCTCTTTAACAATATCTCTTGTACTTAAATCTGGGATTACTTGATTATGTTACACGTGGCTTAATTGGTATATTTAATCTCTCGACCGTGCTCCAGTGAGAATATTTAAATGCTGAATAAATTTTAGAACTTGGGCAGAGCTATATATTATTTTACTAACGCTAAAATTTTATAAATGTAATTTTTATATTTTTATAATTTATATTATAATATAATATATATTATTTTATATTATAAATGTAATTTTATATCGTATTCCAATTATTATCATTTAAATTATTTCCAATCATACTGATTTGTAAGTAGAATCGTAATGATTTGTAATATTTTAATTTGATTTGGAATTATGCATCTTGAACGTGTTAACACTTAAGTGACATTGCATTTTTTTCAACTTGTAACATTATCTTTATCAAATAGGTGTGTCTTAAATTATCTCTTATTATCTTTCAGTTAAAATTTTGGCCTCTGAAGCGTGTATTTCAACTTCGTCGATATATTATTATATATTATTTTATTTTTATTTTTATTTTTATTTTTATTAATCGTATTAATTTATTTTATTTTTACTAAGTTTATTAATCGTTTTTATTTTTGATAATTGTAGTTATTAGTAGAAGTTGAAGTTAAAAGCTGAAATTTCATTTATGCAAGAATTATGACTGCATTTTTACAAATTCGAAAACATGCGATATTTAAAGATACGCATCTATGTAAAAATCACGAAAATTATTGTGCAATCCTGATAAAGTGGAAAACGAAAGTTTTTGTTTAAATTCTGTTATGCAATTACGTATCTAAAAGGAGAAAAAAATTAGTTTATATTTTATTACCTTTCTTCGCAAATAATTTACACCAGGTGATAATAGAAAGTATAATGATTGTGACGAAAATTTTGTTTTTAATAAAAAATAACATGCGCTGATTAACTTTTGAGCCCTGTACATTTATTTTTAAAATATTATATCGCCTCGAGTTTCATTTTTACTTTCGCATTCGTTTTATTATTATTCTTAATAATAATACTCTTAATTACTATTAAACAATAATAATGTTATTATTACTAATACAATGTATATAACTTTCTTATATTTTCTTACAAGATATTATTTACACTGTACATTAAAGGAACATTTAAATTCCTCAGTATCATGATTTAATACAATCGAAATCATTCTGCACTTTCTTTTCACAAAATTGTAATCTGACATTCTCTTTTATAATAAATAGTTTCATCAAGTGCGAGATTTTTGATTTCGTTTCAGTTAAAATATATTCCGTCTAGAGATTAATTTCCAATAAAAAAAAGTTTTATTTTAATT